TTCAGAATAAATATCATGGAAACTAGATAAAAAAAAAAAAAACCATTTTCTTCACTTGTGAAGTGTGAAGGGAATCAAAACTTGGAAGCCAAGCATATTCACTGTGTTCTTTCTTTTTAAATTTTAAGCAATCAATCTGATTGAGTATTAGTTGTTAATATTTTCAAGAGAGTAAAAAAAAGCGTGATGTTAACCTTAATCTTGAGTAAAAATGAAATTATCAATTTATTGATTGAATCTAGATTAGGGTTCCATAAGCATATCCTGCTGACACATGTGAGGGTCTGGTCTCAATTATTGGTAACCCCACTGTGATTAGGGGTTGATTAAGAAAAAGGAATAAAACAAATCCAATTTGGGGGAACAGGGTTTTTGAAAAGAGAAATGAACGGGATATGTAATGCAAAGTGATGCAGAATCCTCATAGGAAGTAGTCCAAAAGCTAAAAACGTTGCATGATCTCAGGATAATGATACAGTCCCAGGCATATAATTGGTTCAATGGGTTTGGCTGGGTTTGGACAAGAGGGGTATTTTATTGTTTACTAGTTTTGTTTGTTTTTGGCCAATTGGGTTAAATTAATGGGGTTTGCCAGCTATAGGTCTTATTTAAGATCAAGAATCAAATTTCAAGAAGGGAGAGAAAAGTAGTTTCTAGGAATGTCATTTCTAGTGGAGTGTAAAAAGGTGAAGATATGTTGCACATCTAATTGATACTACTTGCAAGTACAATACCATATTTACAATATAAAATGCATTAGTTTCTTTTGAGTCACTTACTGCATCTAATATTTTGATAATAATTAAAACCTAAATTATGATATTATTATATTATAATTCTTACTCTCTTACCTTAAATTCTAATTGTTGAAAAATAATCTACAATATAATATGATATTAAAACAAATATATGTAAATAATATTATAATGTAAAATTTCAAATTAAAAAAGTCAATTGACCTAATTATATTATACAACCCTAATATATTTAAAATTATTGTAGGTCCATCATTGCTCAAAAATTTATTATTTACTTGGTAACAAGAGACGAAAATATGGGGGAAAAAAATGAATTATCAGTTATCCATGATTTGTTGCATATTTGTCCTTTACAAATGAAAGAAATGTTTACGCTACAACGGCACACAAGAATACATGAAAAATGATTCAGCAGTAATTTTTTTATAGTATTTTTTGATATAATTTTATATATTATTTAAATAATTAATTTTTTATTCATTCAAAACTTATGATATTAAATATATTTTTCATTTAATAACATATGAAAATTATATGAAAAAATTGTAAAAAATATTTTTTTTGTATCACTAGACGGGATACAATTGTAGAATAAGTAAATGAATGAAATTTTTGAATAATTTTGGACCATTGATTTTTAAAGTAAGCTAATAAAAATACAATCTTGTCTCTCAATTGTTATATTTCAATCATAATTACTAGAAGGGCATAATAGAAATGAATCATGATCCAATTATATAAAATTTTATATAAATTATTAATAGTTGATTTTCAAATTCGACAGTTGATACTTGAGATTCATTATTAAATATAGCCCAACATTTTAAACCTAATTGGATATTTGAAATTAACTATTAAATAATTTATGTAAGATTTATACATATAAAAAAATACAAATTAATCTTATATCTTAAAATTTGGAGTTTAAAATTTTAAAATTAAATCATTTTAATAAAAATATATAAGAAATAATTAAAATACTTATTTGAGAGAGAAATTCAAAAGAATTATTTTAATTTTTTACACGTGAATATTTATTAAAACGATGGTCATAAACTCTTAAACTCTATATTATTATCCATTAAATAGTTGCTAATGAAGACTTTTATTTTTTATTTTTGGCCTTTAATGATGGGTTGTTAAGTTATGGTACAATGAAAAATATTCATTTCGTTTTTAAACTACTCTAACTTATCTTAAAATTTAAATTTGAAAACTCTAACATAAAAACTCATATTTTTAACTATTAAGAAATCCTATTAAGAAAAACAATAAAGGGTAATTTGTTTACATGGTTTCAATGCCAAACCATATTCACATTTTAAATCTACTATAGAAAATTATTCTCCTATTCCCTTGAATGGTTAGTAACTAATTATGAACTTTTTTATATGTGCTTTGCTTGAACAATAATTGATACAAAAGGTTATAAGTGGGTTGGCCATTAAACTTGGATATGCAGGCAATTATCTTATTTAGTGCTTTCAATTTCTTTCTTTT